ATTCTGATCCATTGGATAAAATGTGGGCAAAAACCAAACAGCTGAAGAACACGTAGAAGAAATGGACACTCCACACTGTCAAAGGCTTTGTGGATGTCAAGGGAAACAATAGCCCTACCCTCTAAGCCTAGTGAAGTTTTCCTGCATGAACCCAGCCTGGTCACTAGCAATGAGGGCGGAGATATGTTTATTCTCAAGACTAAAATTTTTACAAGGATTTTTGCATCCAGGTTTATGAAAAAAAAGCCATCCACACCCAGAGATTTTTTTGGGGAGGGGAATGAAGAGATCACTGTACTGATTTCCTCCACAATAATTGGAGCATCCAGCTCGGCCTTGGCTTGAAAGGACAGGCATGGAAGGCACAAGACAAGTACCCGTCTAATTCATCATCGCTATAAGTGGCCATATAGGTATAGAGCTCTCAGTAGAAAGAGACAAAGGCATCAAGAATATCTATGAGCTGGGTGGCAAGAGTGCCCAAAGGAGGCATTATCCTATGAATGGAGTAAACTCTGGGTTTGGGAAATAAGACCATAATTTACCAGCCTTATTTCCAAATTGAAAAATGTTTTACTGGGTAAAAAGCATTTTCTTTTTGGTGCCCTCCTAAGAGGAATAAATTAGGTGGGGGGAAAAATAATAATTAAAAAAAAGTTATGAAAAAGTAAAAAATTATTAATTATATTTTTTTAAACTAGTGACGATGTAAAAAATAAAAAAATCTAAACCAAACCCGCTGCCCCGCCATCTGCATGCAAATAAACGCACGCATAGTACATTGTGTGTGTGCGTTGAGTGCTGCCGCCATTTCACTGTGCCATATTGTGGTAGCGAGGCAGCAGAACTCTCCCACACGCACAATGCATTAAAGGGCAAGTTCACTTTCCCAGGTAATATGGGAAAATGGAATTACCCGATCAAATCTGGCCCCCGTCTCTCCCAAAACCCCCCCGCCCCCGGCTATACTTACCTTTCGGCAAACAGTCCTTACCCTCTGGCGGTACAGGTGTACTGTCATTACCCCGTACTGTCAAGCGCAGTCCTGCCCTATGCATTTTGAATTTCGCTCGCAAATTGCAAGCACTCATTGGCCAGCATGGTCTGGGGACCACGCTGACCACTGAGAAGCGCTATTTGGCACAGACTAATATAGTTTTTTATTAGGAATGCACAGATACAGAGTATTTGGGCGAGTACTTGTACTCGCCCAAATGCTCGATATATTCTCCAATACCGGAACTTCTGGTCAGAGGAAGACTTCCTCTGACCGGCAGTGCTGTAGGGGTACATGGAGTCAGCTTCCCGTGCAATCAGGAAGCGGGGCAGCGACTAATGACCCGCCTCCCAGTTTCCTGATTGGCTGGGAAGCCAGCTTCCCAGCCAATCAGCATCGAGCCGGCTTCCTGGCTAATCGGGTCATTACTCCCCGCCTGGTTTCCTGATTGGCCAGGAAGCTGACTCGATGCTGATTGGCCGGGAAACCGGCTTCCCAGCCATTCACAATCAAGCCGGCAAAACAACATGGAGTCGGTTTCAGTGGCGGTCAGGAAGCCGGCTAGCATCTCATTACCCGCTGCCCGGCTTCCTGATTGCCCGGGAAGCCCGCTCCATGCAAATGGAAGCACCGATACTCGGAGAGTACCTAAAGCAAAATATCGGTACTCGTACTCTATACCCAAAAACCGGTATTGGTGCATCCCTAGTTTTAATTAAAACTATTTTTTTTTGTATTGGGACAAGTAGATTGTTATGAAGGACAAGTAGATTTGGCCCCCGCTTTAGCCCTTGGACAAGTAGTTTTTTCAAAAATGTCCACACCCCTGTAGCTTTCTCACAATCTCAGGCTATAACTTCACAATGCTTACACACAATTTCTGTTGCTGCTATAAATGAGTGGCCTTTAAGGCTTCCCATTTTAGAGAATTAGAAAGCATTCCATATCTTCCCAATAGTGGGCTATAGCTTGGGAGCAGGACTCAACTACTGAGGAATCATCCAACCAATAGGGGTTCATTCTCCAAACACCCCCACCCCCCAAACTTCCACTACTAGGGGTGCATGATCGGATATACTTCTGGGAAGGGATCTAGAGTCCACCACCCAAGAAAGGAGAGTCAAATACCAGGTCAATTCTGGAGAGCGTGCCTTGAGAATCAGAGTTACAGGAGAAAGCCCTAGAGTCTGGATGCCTCTGTCTCCAAATGTCCACAAGATCAAATCTCCTGATCCAGCCCTGAAAACCAGCCTTGGGTCATCCAGTATCTGCCCAAGAGGTCCAGGATATGGTCTGGGACAGAATTTAAAATCCCTAACAATAAGCAGGGGACCTACAGACACAGCCACTGCTTCCAGGGTGATGCAGATGTTAACAGTAAAGGTGTGTTCTGGATGAACAGCTTTAAAATGATATAGCGGCCAATTGGATCAGATTTACCTTGTAGAAGATCAGAAGAAAGGCTTTTTGCCAACAAGATGTAGGCTCCCCTAGAATATAAGGAGTAGACAGCATGAAACTATATTGGCATCCAGGATTATTTTTAGAGCCAAAACATTTGACCCCAGTAGCCGAGCCTCCTGTAGACCTACTATATGGAGTTTATACTTGTGCAGAAAATCGAATACAAGGGACTGGAATTCAACCCCCTAGTGTTCCCAGACAGAATCTTACACATGGTAGACATAGTTTGATCAGATAGTAACCATAGAATGGCAGCATACATAGCAGTAGTAACAATAGATAACCGTACAAGACAATCATATAGAGGCAAAACAATAACAAACAGATATATATTTTTAAAACCCACCCCTTCCTGCTCATTAGCCCAACTATAACAAGTCCAGATAACCCAAAAAATAACAGCAGAAAAGCTGCAACAATTTTGCAACTAAGGATGTTCCACAGAGAAAGTGAATGTCTGAGCCACCAATCCTGAAAAACAGGGTAAAGATCCAACATATCATACAGGAGAGGAAAGCCAATTCAGGAACTCAAAAGAATATGGGACCCAAGGCGGAAGGAAAGAAATGGGAGTCGCTAAGGACACATGGGAGGACTCCTTCCCAAACCAGCAAGGAGAACTAGAGTTAACCACCTTAGTAGCAGTGCAAACCAGAGCATATCCTCTGTGGAAGACACTTCCCATCTAACCACTCTGAGGCCTCTGTGGGTGTCCAGAAAAAGGTGGATTTACCATTGTGACAAATCCAGGCTGTGTATTGCTAACGCTGGGGAAGGCACTGTGTGTATGTCTCTTTTGTTTATCCTCCCATCCTCCCATCCACACCTATCAGTTGAGCTAATCAGCCCATTGTTAGACTCTCAGCTCGAAGTGTGTTTCGGGACAAAGCAGCCTCCTACAAAGTGGTTGATACCGGTTCGTTCTAGACCGGGAGGGGGTGGGCTTCTTTCTATAGAACTCAAATGCTTGGTGTTAATAAAGGCTTGCGTCATTCTGCTTACCTCAAAATGAGTGCTGCCTGATTCTTGAGGTAATGGTAACAGGGTTTGGAATAGGTTCCATTTGGGAAGCCATATCACTGACGGAGGTGCTCAGTCGGGGTGCCAGGGAGTCCGTCACAACCATCAACAACCACACAAAGTTCAGCAGGGTAGTGCAATAGTGTAGGTGATGCTCCCCGGTCAGAGACATTTCTAGACTTGCAGGAACTAAGCTCTCTGCCGCTGAACCTCTGAGGAAAAGTCAGGAGAAATGGAGTTATGGTCAACATTATGATGCAGATCACCCATGGCTCTGGCTGCCCGCAGGATAGCCACTTTGTCTTGGAAGTTAAGGTTCTTGGTGATCAGTGGTCTCAGATTAGCCAGAAGCACACTTTTTAAGCCAGTGATCTAGGAACACTTAAAGGAGAACTATGGGGTCAGGGCTTTTCCCCATAGTTCTCCTTGGGGTAACGGGATGACACAAACTAGCGTCCTCCCGTCACCCTAAGCTCAGTATACCGCGAGCTACAGCTCGCGGTATACTGAGACGCCGGAGCGGATCCCGACATTGATGTCGAGATCCGCCCAGCTGCGTGAGTGACCGCTGGCTCTGCCTACCAAGAGGCAGAGCCAGCTGTACCCGCCCCCTCCCTCGTCCGTTCCGCCAGTCAGCGCTGGTAGATCGGGGAGGGGGGAATCCAGCCCCTCCCCTGTCACGGCAGAGAGCCGTGATGGGATCGAGAGGTGAGCGAACGCCGGTATATGTTCGCTCACCTCCCGATCTGCTGAGCCGACCTGTGACAGTCTCATTGTCACAGGTCGGCTAGAACTATGAGGTGAGTGAAAAGCACTCGCCTCAAAGTTCTCCTTTTAAGGAGCAGAACCTGCAGATCGTTTGGAAAAGCACACAAAACAGATTGTTCTGTCTGGAACGGTCATCCAATTTTAGTTTACAATTGAACAAGTCACGCTGTAAAACGGAAGTGTCACTTGCTCTATAGATCTAGAGCGGAGTGATCTTGTACCGCTGATTGTTCGGTTCACGTTCTTTTTCCTTCAGAGAGCAGTGACTTCACCCCTCCCCTCTGTTCCTCCCGCACTCATTGGAGGGGCGGGCACAGCTAGCTCTAGAGAGGCGGTGTGGTGCATGCCGGCAATGTTGGGATCTTTCCTGGCTTCAGTGCAGCTCTGCACTGTCAGCATATAGCAGGCAGTAGCCCTCTAAGTGCTGACTGGGGGTCACAGAAGTACATTGGTAAATGTATTCCTTTGACCCAAAAGAGGACTAAAGCCAAAAAAATGGTTTGGCTTCAGTTCTTTTAATGTCTGTATTGTGAGCGCAGGTGCACTTTAAGGAAAATGCAGTACTATCCAATATCTTGATAAATCCTCATTCTTGAAACCCTGGATCACTAGAACATCAAATCTTACATCTTGAGCACCTCCTCCGCCTACCATACCTGTAGTCCAGCTTTTCCTCACCCTCTACCTCCAACAATCGGCTGTTCTTTCACACGCGTATTTTCCTTCCTTCCCTGTCCAGTCTATAGTTACACTACTTTGGTCTAAAACATGTTATGATGTCTACATTTTGTTAATATTGTGTTGCCTTCTGTATAATTTGTGAATCTGTCAAAACTTTCAAATAAAAATTATGAAACTGAAAATAAAAAAAATATTTAGGCAAGTTCTAATTTAGTATGATTGTAATGAATGGAAAACAAGCCGTAAACATGCTGTTTAAAATGAATGTGATAGTTTGAGCTTCAAATGAAAATATTACTCTTTTCTTTCTACAGGTTCTTGCTAGCTACATTAATCCATCTGGATGTGCCGTTAATGGTGAAACACAAGCCAATGAGAGTCGAGGGCAGAATAGTAATGCTCTTCCATCTGTCTTGCAAGAACTACTCAGTCAGTCATGCCTCATCCCAGCCATGTCCTCTTACCTAAGGAATGATTCAGGTACTGATTCAAAGCTTGCATACTTATTTTGAAAGTTCTAACTGAAGGAAACCTTCAATGTGAATCTTGCTTCATTTTAAACTTTTAAAAATGCACATTCTGCGTAAGAGCAGACACTATAACATGTCTAGAGAGGGGCACAGAATAAGCTTTTCTGGGTAAAAACATTAATTTAGCTCTGCATTGATACCTGGGCCTGTCTTCTTCTGATTTTATAGTTAAGATAAGCCCTGCTAACTGCTATTGCACACTTTGAGAATGCTTTAGTGGCCAGTAAAGGCATTCTTTCTGGACAGAGAGTTGGAAATTGTGAAAGTGAACCTAGATTAGAGAAGGGTACAAAAGAATTTGTTTTTTTTTTCACCATGGGTGTGGAAATTTTGGAAAAAACTACTTCTCCAAGGGCTAGAGCGGGGGCCGAGTCTACTTGTCCCTCATGACCAGGGCTTGAAAAATCCACTCGTCTGCGACGAGAGGGCGGTGGAGCCTGACTAGAGACGCTCGATCGCTTGTATTAGCAGCTCTCACTGCCGTTGCCGGTCCCGGGTTCCGCTGTGCCCGATGCGGCCGGGACTGGCACGGCTCTGTGACAGGAGATCAAAGGGAGTTCAGTACACAAACTCCCTTTAATCTCCTCTCAGTCCCCGAATGCAGGAAGGGATGTATATTACATCCCTTCCTGCATTCAGTGTCCCTTTCCAACTACAGAAGCTGATGAAGTGGATCTCTGCTTCATCAGCTTCTCTGGGGGTCCCTAGGTGACATTAGGGGTCTTGGAGACCCCTGATGTCTCCATAAAGAGGACCTGTCATATAAATTGGCTATCCCCTAGGGGGCTTCTTAGCCCCCCATGTAATAGCAATAAATTTGTGTGTAAAAAAAAAAAAAATAATACAAAAATTAAAGAATCATTAAAAAAAAGCAAACATTTTTTTTTTAAGTCCCCGCAGATATGCGTCGGTTGCGCCTACGGGCAAAAACGACGATTGTGCCAGACATGCTGCATATCACCGCAAACGTCTGAGTGAGAGCAATAATTTTAGAGCCATTAATTACTGATAACACCAATGCCTTGTTCACACCAAGCGCGTTCCAGGAGCAGAGCAGTTACAGACCGGATCAAAACTGCGTCCAATGTATTCCAATGGTATTTTGGGCTCTAGTTCACACCGCAGCATTCAGTTCCAGAGCATGTAAAAAAAACTGCAGCATGCCCTATTTTACGTGCTCTGGAACGCATGCAAACGCATCAAAAACACATTCAAACGCCCTGGAACACACTAAAAGCCCATTCTAAACTAAAAAAAAAATAGTTTTTTTGCCAAAAACGGCCCGGAACGCATCAAAAACGCGGCACAACCCACTGCACTGCGTGTGCAGAAACTCATGCAGATCTGGTCTGCATTTGGTGTGAACAAGTCCTAAACTGATGAGCGGTAAAAGCGTCTATGCGCAATTTTTAGTGTGGTCGTTTTTTTGCGACTTTTGCGGGCGCACGCAATTTTAAAGCTTGATATGTTTGGTGTCTATTTACCCGACGTGACCCCGACTTTTATGTTTTACCAAAAATATGGGTAAGAATAAATGTTTTATAACATAACTAAGGGAAACTTTTTTCCATTATATAGTAAAAAAAAATAAAACACGCCCCCCCCCGGGGTGATTATATACCACCAAAAGAAAGCTCTATCTGTTCCCAAAACATTTTAACATAAATTGCAAGGCTATAGTCCGGTCATGCTGACTGGTGTCATTTTTTACTAACTGGTGAGACACCCTAACATTTTTCGAGCCCTGCTCATGACAATCTACTTGTCCTGATACACACAAAATAATTTTAACTAAAACCCTATTTAGCAGTGCTAAGAAGCGCTTCTCATTGGTCAGTGCTGTCAGGTGACCGCATTGACCAACGAGTGCTTGCAATTTGCGAGCGGAATTCACAATACATGGAACAGGTACAGATAGTACACCCGTACTGGTGGACGGGAAGGACCGTTCGCCGACAGGTAAGTATAGCGGGAGGGAGATTTGTGCGGGTTATTCCATTTTCCTAAATAACTTAGGAAAGTGAATTTACCCTTTAGGCTGGGTTCACACTTGGGCGTACCACAGTCGCGTTTTTTCTGCTAGTTTTTTCGTTCAGTAAAACGCACGTTTGACGCTCGTTTTTTATACCTCCCTGGAGGTATGATTTTTTTTTTCCTTTATTTGCTCTATCTTTATTTTAGTTTTTTTTTTTTTTAAACTTTCAAACTTCCCACCGGTTCTGCCCCTGTGCGACGTGGTCGCTTGCAAGGGACGGAAGTCGGCAGCGGCCGGAGGACACAGCGGGGATCGCTAACAAGGTAAGTCCTACGCTGTATTCCAGAGTGTGGCTCGGGGTTACCGCTTTGTTAACCCCGTGCCACACTCGGGAATACCAATGGATTTGCGCGGAAAAACGCCCCAAAGAAGCTCCTGTACTTGTTTTGGCGTAGGGCGTTTTTCAGCGCGTTTCCACGGGCTGAAATACGCCCAGGTGGGAACCATGCCCATAGGGATTTATGGGATTTCACTTGTTTCGATCAGCGCTGAAAAACGCCCAGGTGTGAACCCAGCCTTAGGGTTGGTGCAGACTTGTGGATTCCCGGGACGTGCAATCGTGTGCGGTTGCATACAGCGGTTGCATCCGCGTGGCAATCGCTGAAAAAAAGGTAGATGTACCTATTTTCACGACATGCACCGTGACCATGTGGGATCGCCTGGGCGGTATTGCAGCAGGAAAACGCGCAATCTGCCTGGCACGACTGGGGTGCCATTCGAAAATAATGGCACTGACAGCACAATCAGCGGTTGTGTGCGATTCCGTGACCACCCAGCCATCCGCTCGGTTTCGTGCACGATGACCGGGCAATCATGGATCGCACACCACTGCCGATCGCGCTGGCAGTGCCATTATTTTCTAATTGCACCCCAGTCGTGCCAGGCAGATTGCCCATTTTCCTGCTTTCCTTTCCTCGCAGTTAAAAACACTTTACATTTTTATTTAATTACATTTTTAATAATTATCATTTTTTTACTTTTTTTTAACTATATTTTTTTTTAAACTTAACTATTGCTATCACACAGGGGTTAACAAGCCCCAGTGTGATAGAATTTGGAGGTGACAGGTTCTCTTTATTGAACCTGTCACCTCCAACACAGGAGTTCTAGCAGGCACTGTGCTAGAACTCCTGTGACAGGAACGAGCAGCGGCTGAGGGAGGTGACAGAGCCTGTCACTGCTCCACGCCCTCAGCGTTCCGTCCACGCTCTCGGCGGTCCACGCCCCCCCGCTTGCTGCGTCGCTAAAACAGTGAAAAAATCACTTGCCCGACACCTGGAACTACATGTCCCGGGCGTCGGGCGATACGAATTCCACACCCCTGTTCACTAATGGGTAACAGCAGACATCTTGTGGTATATGCTTTGAGACAGGATGGTTAATTTTAAAAGTTTAAGATTAGTGTGCTTTAACTGGCAACTCATGTCCTTGTGCTTTATCAGGCAAATTTAGGGATAGGTCTCACTTCTCTAAGAATACTCATTTATAAATGGATTATCTACTTCAGAAAAAGGACCTTTGGAATAAAGAAAATGCTAGTTGCAATTTATGTCTCACAATATTTGCGCAAATCTTTAGCAAACCAATATTTTTAGGATAAAATACACTAAAATGAATTTTAGTGCACACAAACTCAATATATTACCATTTTTTTAAATTATATATTATAAAAGATGGTGTCATATTGGGCAAGTATATACTAAACATATCAAGCCTGACACGCTGACACCTAGGAGTGAATGCAGCCTTGGGCTGGGTTCACACCTGGGTGTACGGAATATACGTGTTTTTACAGCAATTTGCAGTAAAAGAAACGTGCGTTTCCGAGGGCTATCCGGCTGTATCCTAATGGATACGCGCGGAAAATGCGCCCCAAAGAAGCTCCTGTACTTCTTTGGGCGTAGGGAGTTTTTCAGCGCGTTCCTACGCGCTGAAATACGCCCAGGTGGGAACCATGCCCGTAGGCAATTATTGTTTTTCACATGTTGAGCGTTTTACTGCGCATAGGAACGTGCTGTAAAACGCCCAGATGTGAACCAGGCCTTAAAGAGCAATTCTTGAACTTCAGTGCAGTGACTTTGCCTATGTTGAGAAGCCATCAGTCTGTTTTAGGCAGTTACAAGCATTTACTCTCCCCAGTGATCAGACTGCAAACTTCTTGCAGGTCACAAGGTGAAAGACCAGAGCGACTGGAGATAATTTGTGTCAGATATTTGTAAACACAGCCAGGAACTCCACAGGCACTAGAATTTACAAGACTGTCATTTTTGAGCAAGCATCTAGTAAGTAGATGCTGAATCTACGCACCTATATGTTTGCCTAGGTGGGAATGACAGGCATGTCTTTGGAGCAAGTAATATGAGCACTATATGAAACTCCCTTTTTTTTTTTTTATTGCTTTTCTAGATTTACTTGGACAGACTAGTAGAATGCTTAACCCCTTCGTGACTGACGACGTACAGTGTACGTCGCCAGCATCGGGGCTGTTTAAACAAGAGATCCAGCTGATAGAAATTGAATAATAGATGCTGTACGTGATTTTGTTAGCTTTTTGTCTTGTAAGGACAACATCAGCCCTCTAAGTTCTGATGTTGCCTGTTTTATGTCCTAGCTGATGCTGATAATTTCTGAAGTACCCATAGTAATAGATAAAGTAGCAATCCTTATACCCGTGCTACTGAAAATTACAAAACATCCTTTGAAAGTTAGGTATTTGACAAAATCACTGTAGTGTATACCCCTGAATTTAAGAGATATCCATGAGCCAGTTGGTTCAGAACATGTGGGGTTGTGGAACAGTTGTAGAATTAGCATGACTTTACACTTTCTGTAGTGCATGGGGTGTTGGTGCACTATCCTCCCTCTTCCCTATCCCATTCCATATTGCCTGGAGCCTCCATTATAGTCTCGGGTGG